TCATTTGTGTATTCATTGGAATATCACTTTTCATTTCCTTCAAGAACTTTTCCTTTGCATTCACAACTTGGATAACTAACTGTCTAACACATGTTGTGTCTCAGGGAATAGGGAGGCCTGAGAAAAGGGGAAAAGGGAACAGTCGGTGGAGCAGTCACAATATACACAATATTTATTGTTGTCATAGGGGTGTGGTGTCTGGCACAATTACAACAGTAACATCAAACACTGATCACAGATCACTTACAAATATAATAATGGAAAAGTTTGAAGTATTGTGAGTAACAGTGTGACACAAAGACATGAAGTTAGCAAATCCTGTTGGAAACATGGTGTCCATAGACTTGCTTAATACAAAGTTGCCACAAACCTTTAATTTGTAAGAAAAAAATGACAGTATCCGCACAGTGTAATAAAGTGGAATGTAATAAAATGATGTATGCCTGTAGTGGTAATTGATGTACAACCCTGCAAATATACTAAAAGGATTGAATGACAAAAATTATAAGGGTGAATTTTATAGGATATAAACTGTGTCTCAATTTCTTTTATAAAGCATACTGACACTGAAGCCAGAACCCTAGATTCAAATCCCATTTTTTGCCACTCACTTGCTGTATCTTTCCCTCAGTTCTTTTGTCTGTAAAATGAGGATGAAAAGCAATACCTACCTCATAGAGTTTTGTGAGGCTTTCATGAGTTGATATATGTCAAGTCCTTAGTATACTTAATGTTTGGCATACTCTAAGTGCCAACTGAGGTATTAGCTATTATATACAAAACTGAACCAAAGTTGATAGAACAATATTTACCCTACTACCAACTACAACCATCCTTTTTTTTTCTATTCTGTTAATTTTAATTTTTTTTTTTAATGTTTATTTAGTTTTGAGAGAGAGAGTGTGAGCAGGGGAGGAGCAGAGAGAGGGAGACACAGAATCTGAAGCAGGCACCAGGCCTGTCAGCACACAGCCCGAAGCGGGGCTTGAACTCATGGACCACGAGATCATGACCTGAGCTGAAGTCGGACACTTAACCGACTGAGCCATCCAGCGCCCCTCTATTCTGTTAATTTTAAAAGAAAGAAATAAATGTTAAGGTAGAGTAAATTGATTTCACAACCCTCTGTTGCCACTAAGAAACTGTTTCTAGTGCTTCCCCTGCTCCCTCAGCTGACATGTGCTCCTCCTTTGGGTTTAGCTTAAAGTTTCTTCCTGAAGCAAATCTTTCCTGATTTCCCAGACTAATTTAGATTTCCCTGTTAATGTGCTGCTATTAGCACCCTATATTTAACGTCTGTGGCACTCATCCCAGTTGTAAGTTGTTAAAAATATCTGTCTTCCAGGGCACCTGGGTGGCTCAGTTGGTGAAGCATCTAACTCTTGGTGTGCCTGGGTGGCTCAGTCGGTTAAGCATCCGACTTCAGCTCAGGTCATGATCTCGCGGTCTGTGAGTTCGAGCCCCGCGTCAGGCTCTGTGCTGACAGCTCAGAGCCTGGAGCCTGTTTCAAATTCTGTGTCTCCCTCTCTCTCTGACCCTCCCCTGTTCATGCTGTCTCTCCCTGTCTCAAAAATAAATAAAAGTTAAAAAAAAAATTAAACATCTAACTCTTAATTTCAGCTCAGGTCATGATCTCGCAGTTGTGCAATTGAGCCCTATGTCAGGCTCTGCACTGGGCATGGAGCCTGCTTGAGATTCTCTGTCTCCCCCTGCCACTCCCCCTCAATAAAATAAAATAAAAATAAAATAAAATATCTGTCTTCCCCCTAGATTATAATCTTCATGAGAACAAAAACTGTCTTTTTATTCAGTGGTGTAGCCTTATCATTAAACAAAGTGCTTACCATATAAGAAGTGCTTAATAACTGTTCAGTCATAGCTTAAAAAGAGCTGCAAAGAAGGTATCATGAAGGTGTCAAGAAATGTAGCTGGAGTGCCCAGCTGATGTTAGAGTAACATAGGGCCAATGCTATGCTCTGTACTCAACGTATACTAGATATGGTAATTCCCAAGGGAATCTTATTATTTTATATTTTATCCAGAGGGAGAAGGACTGCCTAACCTAGGCACTGCTAAAATAATTCCTAGTGTGCAGTACTGGGGTCATCTGTTACTATCTGGACAACTTGACCTGCTATGATACCAAGTTAGCTAGTTAATATAAGTCACATTATAGCTGCAGAGGTTGCAGGGATTTTGGTATTCATGTCTTTAGTTTCTCTCTGAGACAGTTCTGTTCTTTGAAAAAACGAGAAGGATTTGAAGATCCGTATCATGTATTCCTACTTCTGTTTGATTTTGTGGAAAAGTGGCTGGGATGGAGGGAATAATTCTTGTCATTCCCTCAGCCTTTGCGCCTTGTGTTTTTATTTAATGTTTCAGTAATGCTAAAGGGCCGAGATGTAATACCAAATGTAAGAAACTATTTTGTATAATTTTATAATTTTTATAAACTAATCTTGTTTAATCTTAATAGAATAAAGAAGAAGGGTACCTGGGTGGCTCAGTCGTTTAAGCATCTGACTCTTGGTCTGGGCTCAGGTCATGATCTCATGGTTCATGAGTTTGGGCCCCACACCAAGCTCTGTGCTGATGACATGGTGCCTGCTTGGGATTTTCTCTCTCCCCCTTTCTCTCTGCACCTCTCCTGCTTGTGCTCCTGAGCACTCTCTCTTGCTCTCTCTCTCTCTCTCTCTCTCTCTCTCTCAAAATAAATAAACTTTAAAAAAAAAAAGAAGGAAGAAGAAAAACTGTTAAGTAGGCTCCTTGCCTTTGATTAAATTTGCCAGGAAATCAAATTGATGTGGGTTGTTTTTTCTGAAATTAGAACATTTTTAAGGTATTAGACATAGTATTCATATGTCTCATAATAGTGTAATTTTTAGTCACAGGCAGACCCTATATTGATAGAATATCACAAATCAAGGTCAGAGAAGAAGAAACTAGGACCAACTGAATCAGATTAGGTAAAGGCTGTCCAACTAATAATTCTCCTATTTCTTCCTAAGTTTATTCTCTTGTATTTTCTCTCATTCTCTTTTTGTTTCTTTGGCCCTTGATCTCTCTGTCTCACACGTTAACCACTTTCTACTTGGTGACTTCTGTCATCTTTGAAAATTACAGTGACAGCACATTTTGGTTTTGATTTTGTTTTTTTTTTTTTCAAATGTGAAAGTACCCTCACCAGAAGACAAGTTTCCCAATCCTATGGTATGGTGAGTCTGTGCAGCAGTTCCTGTGCACCAAGGGCTTTGTTTGTAAATGTTCTTTGCCTTGAGGTCTTGGTTTGTTCATTGCTGAGATTTGTAATTGGTTTGTTGGAATTGTTTTTAAAATGACAATAATAAAAAATGCTTTATTTGAATTATTTCCACAGTTGGTATAAGGCTAATTACAGCATGGCCGAAAAGTTAGACTGGGGCCGAGGAATGGGCTGTGACTTTGTAAGAAAGAGCTGTAAGTTCTGGATTGACCAGCAGAAACAAAAGTAAGAATGCATTTCCTCATGATATCTTTGATAACACAGTTTATTTTGGATTTGTTCTTTATCCTGAGCCTAAAATGTCACTATTTTGAAAATGTGGCCTAAACAGTTCAATTTCAAAATGTATGGAAGGGACACCTAGGTGGCCCAGTTGATTGAGCATCCAACTTTTGATTTTGGCTGAGGTCATTATTTCACAGGTTCATGGGATTGAGCCCTACACTCAACGCTGCTCTGACATCACAGAGCCTGCTTAGGATTCTCTTTCTCCCTCTCTGTCTGACCTCTCCTCTGATTGTGTAGTCACTCTCTCTCTCTCTCTCAAAATAAATAAACTTAAAAAAAATGTATAGAAAACTGGGGTGCCTGGGTGGCTTAGTCAGGTGGTCATCCAACTCTTGATTTTAGCACAGGTCATTATCTCACTGTTTGTGGGTTTGAGCCCCACATCGGGCTCTGTGTTGACAGCTTAGAGCCTGCTTCGGATTCTCTCTCTCCTTCTCTCTCTTCCCCTCCCCCAGCTCGTGCTTTCTCTCTATTGAAAAATTAATTAATTAATTTTAAAAAATGTATAGAAAGCCATTTCTGGTGCTTCATGGTAATATCAAAATAAATAACTACATTGTTGTTTTAAATCATGTATGAAAGAATCTATGGTGTGGGATCCAGAATCATAAGCATTTCTTTTTAGTTTATAATTAACAAATATGTATATTGCAAAATTTTTGCATATTCTATCATTCTTACTGTTTGGAGAATGCACTCATAAACATAAATGTAACTGTTGATTCAATATACAAAAACAAACCTAGCAAACTTTTAAAAAATACATTCTTCAAGTTTGGAGGATACACACACACACACACACACACACACACACACACACACACATATATGTGTGTCTTTTTTGTTTTTGTTTTTAATGTAAGCTCTGTGCCCAATGTAGGGCTCAAACTTAGAACCCCAAGAGCCTCAGACTTCACAGACTGAGCCAGCCAGGTGCCCCTATAAATATATTTTTTTAACTTTTTATTTTGAGATCATTATAGAATCACATGTAGTTGTAAAAAAATATGTACAGAGATTCCATGTACACTTTATCCAGTTTTCTTGATGGGTAATATCTTGAAAAAACTATAGTATAACAACACAACCAGGATATGGACATTGATGCAGTCAGATATAGAACATTTCAATTACCACAAGGATATTCCTATTGCCATTTTATAGATGTACACACTTCCCTCCCACTTAGCCCCTCCTAAGCCCCTGGAAACCACTAAGCTGTTCTTCATTTCTATAATTTTGTCATTTCATGAATGATGTATAAATCAATTCATGCTGTATGTAACCTTTTGGTGTTGCCTTTTTTCACCCCACATAATTTTCTGGATTTATCCAGGTTATGGTGTATATCAGTAGTTTGCTCAAGTTAATGGCTGAATAAAATTCCATGATACAGATGTACCACAGTGTGTCTAAACATTTGTATGTTGAAGGATAACAAGGTTGTTTCCAGTTTTGGGCTGTTCTGAATAAAGCTGCTGCAAACATTTGTGTACAGGTTTTTATGTGAACATAAATCTTCATTTCTCCAGGATAAATGCCCAAGAGTGCAATTGCTGGGTCATATGGTAGTGACAAGTTTAGTTTTGTAGTAGAAACTGCTGAACTCTTTTCCAGAATGGCTACATCATATTATATTCTACCAGCAATGTATGAGTGATAATAGTTTCTCTACATCCTCGTCAGCATTTAGTGTTGTGACTGTTTTTTTATTTTAGTTATTCCAAAAGATAGTAGTGATTATCTTATTGTGGTTTTAATATGCATTTCCCTAATGGCTAGTGATGCTGAATATCTTTTCATGTGCTTATTTGATATCTGTATATCCTCTTGGATGAGGTGTCTCATCACGTCTTATGGTGATTTTCTAATTGGATTGTTTGCTTTTGTCTTACTGTTGAGAGTTTTTGAGAGTTCTTTATATATTCTAGATACTAGTCCTTTGTTGGAGATGTGGCTTGCACACATTTTCTCCTAATCTGTTGCTTTTCTTTTTATTCTTTTAATAGGGTCTTTTGTAGAGCATAAGTTTTTAACTTTGGTGAAGTCAAAATTATTAATAGGTCCTTTTATGAGTCATGGTTTGAATGTCAAGTCTAAGAACTCAGCGAAGCCCTAGATTCCAAAAACGTTCTTGTATTTTTTTTTTTAAATGTTAAAGCTTTATGTTCTATATTTTTAGTCTGGGATCCATTTTTAGTTAATTTTTGTATAAAATGGGAGACTTAGGTCAAAGTTCATTTTTTGTGTGTGTGGATGTCCAGTTGTTCCAGCACCATTTGTTGAAAAGGTTATCTTTCTTTCATTGAATTGCTTTCTTCCATTTGTGAAGGAATCAGTTGAGTGTATTTATATGGGTCTATTTCTGTGTTCTCTATTCTGTTCCATTGATCTATGTGTCTGTCACTCCATTAATACTTCACAGTCCTTTATTAGTGTAGCCATACTATATCTTAAATTGGGTAAATGTATTCTTCCCACTTTATTCTTTTTCAAAATCATTTTAGCTGTTCTAGTTCCTGCCTTTCATATAAATTTCAGAATAACCTTGTCTACAAAAAAATCTTGGTAGGATTTTTCTATGAATTGTGTTAAACTTACATTATCAGTTTTAGGAGAATTGCCATCTTTATTGACTTTTTAAATCCATTAACGCAATGAGAAGGGGAAACATTCAACCTTTCGCCATTAAGTATAATGTTAGTTGTAGGTGTTCTGTAGATGCTCCTTTTCAAGTTGAAGTTCCTCTCTATTTCTGTGTTTCTGAGAATTTTTATCACAAATGGATGTTGACTTCTGTCAGGTGTTTTTTCCTGCTTTGGTTGATATAATTATGTGATTTTTTTTTAATCTGTTATTAATATGATGGATTATATTGATTGATTTTCAAATATTAAACCAGCTTTCTATTGCTGGAAAAAGCCCCACTTAGTCATGGTATATAGTTATTTCTGTATATCGCTGAATTCCATGTACTAATATTTATAATGGATTTTTCTGTATATATTCATGAAGAATATATCTTTGTTTCTTTTTTGTACTAAGTATTAATTCAACTTCCTTAATATTTACAGGGCTATTCATATTTACCTATTTCATATTGGATGAATTGTGGTAATTTGTGTTTATTGAAGTATTGGTCCATTTTACCTAAGTTATTAGATTTATGTGTACAGAGTAGTTTGTAGTAGTACCTTACTATCGTTTTAATGTCTGTAAGGTCTGTAGTGAGATCCCATTTCATTCCTGATATTGGTAATTTGCATTTTCTCGGTTTCTTTTTCAGTTTTGCTAGGGTTTGTCAATTTTATTCTTTCTTTTTAACTTTTTTTTTTTAATGTTTATTTATTTTTGAGAGAGAGACAGAGTGCAAGCTGGGGAGGGGAAGAGAGAGAGGGAGACAGAATCCGAAGCAGGCTCCAGGTTCTGGGCTGTCAGCACAGAGCCCGACGCGGGGCTCATACTATGGACCACAAAATCATTACCTGAGCCAAAGTCGGACGCTTAACCAACTGAGCCACCCAGGCACCCCTGTAAAGACTTTATAAAAGTGGTGGGGACACAGAAATTACACTTATTGAGTAACTTGTGTGTGCTAGGCACTTAGTGCTTTATAGTTGAAGCTCAGGAAAATGAAGTCAACATCAAATAAGCTGGTATTTGAAACCAAGCCTTCTTGGTTTGGTTTCTAGAGTTCTAGACCTTTGCCTTCCTATTACAGTGTGCTTCTTCAAGTCTACCAGAGACACTGGTAGGTCTTTTACACATTTTTTTTTTTTTAATTTTTTTTTTCAACGTTTATTTATTTGTGGGACAGAGAGAAACAGAGCATGAACGGGGGAGGGGCAGAGAGAGAGGGAGACACAGAATCGGAAACAGGCTCCAGGCTCTGAGCCATCAGCCCAGAGCCCGACGCGGGGCTCGAACTCACGGACCGCGAGATCGTGACCTGGCTGAAGTCGGACGCTTAACCGACTGCGCCACCCAGGCGCCCCTACACATTTTATCTCAAGAAGCTATAATTCCCTGAGATGTTTTATTGCTATACTTTGTTAACTTAAATGAAGCAAATATCAATTTTCCTTAAAGTAAATCTAACCTAGGCTTTTTCCCCTTAACAAACATGTGGAAGAAGAGGAAAAATGGCAGTAATACTATCACAATTTGGCAATCAGTCATAATAGGATTTATATTGTTTAAGAATACTGGAATTTCATTTATAACATTACTATTATGACATTAATATGGTTTGTATTATAATTATCAATAAATTGACCATTTAGAATTATAGGTTGGGGTTTGAAGATTATTTTTACAGAACAGTGTAATAGATTCTGGTATCTGGAAAATTATAAGACCTCATTTTCCAAATTGTACTTCCAAGATTAGATTCAACAGAACAGAGCAACTTGTCATAATTAGGAATATTCACACAGTCTTCATTTTGCACATGAAAACAAGATGTCTTGTGAATGTTTTCAGTATAACTGAAACAAGAGTCTTTGAACTAGATCATGCCATAGAAAACAATTCACTCTTTGTAGCTGCAGGGCAGAAAGGGCATCCATCATCTCTGTCTCTTTCTAAGACTCCATTATATTAATTATGAAGATTTGTATTTCTAAGCAGGATCAGGAATTTCATTATTTGTCATTAAACACACAGATCAGGTCTGCAGAACTCCATTTTACTGGAAAAAGTGGAGAAAGAGATAAATATTTTGTTTAATAATGGTGAAGTAACGTTACAAGGCATTTGGCATTAATCTTTTATAACTACATTAAGCATTTCTTTTTACTCTTTGAAAAATAACTTTATAACCTGATTCAGCATTTAGTATTAAGCTATCAAAACATATTGAAATTATAATAGAAAATGGATTTGTTATGTTTTCTTTAGAGTTTGGTACCTTGGTGTTTCTTTGTGTGCAGGAGGCAGATGCTGAGCCCTTTCTGTGACACGCTTAGAAGTAACCCATTGCAGTTAACTTGCCGACAGGACCAGAGAGCAGTTGCTGTGTGTAATTTGCAGAAGTTTTCAAAACCTTTGCCTCAAGAGTACCAGGTAACACTTGTTGGGGCACAGTTTTAGGAATCAACTCAACTTTTTAAAGAGAAGTCTCTATCTTGAGTTAGAAGAATGAATTAAGTTTTTCAACTTACCCCCATTGGTTTTCTGTAAGTTAGAAAAAAAATTGAGAATTCTTATAATTCTTTAAAACCAATGTGCTAATTAACAATAATTAATATCTAACAATGCCTTGTAGTAATAGAGGCATTTAGAATATTTATTGGATCTATTTTTAAATGTTTTGTATTTTTTTCTAATTGTTTCCTAAGTCTTCATCTTTAATTTCCTCTAACATACACAGAAAACAAGGTTCTTTAAAGAGAATAACTGAGGTACTCTATTCCAATTCATTACAAGTCTTAGAAGTTCTACTTTAGGAAAGGTTTGACTCATGGGATCTAAAAGGTGAAGGAAATGGTCCTACATATTCAGTCTGAATCTCTGATTTGACCTGTAAATTTTTTGTTGCAATAGCCATCTCTGAAACTCTTTAGTTCTGCCTGCCATTTACAAAGGACCCTGCAGTCAGAAGGAGTATCTCAGAAGATGATTTAAAATGATTGCTGCTAAATGTTGAGCTTTCCTGCATATGTTCATGATGCCACTGAATGCTTCAGACATCATCATAAGATGGCAACTCTATTTCTAGGCATAGGAATATAATTCAGTGAGTTAGTGTACATGTGAAATCTTTAAAATTTATCTGGAGCCTTGTTCCTTTGGTGTTCCAAGTGTTTTATAGGTATGATCTCATTCATATTCTCACAGTTTTATTTTTTCAAGTTTCTCAAAACAACACGTAAATTAAGTCTTCTGATAATACTTCAAGTGCATTATATTTAAAATATGTTAATTCTCTGGATTAGTATGTGTTTTGTCACCTCATAAAACTCTTCCTATTCATCCTTTTAAAAACATTAGTCAAATTTGTCATCTAATAAAAAACATAGACTAATTTACTTACCTTGCTTTTTTTAAAACTACAACAACCTTGAAATATCCCTCAGGTAGAATATGTTCTTTATGTTCTATGACATATGAAGAAAAGTACAGTAATATCTTTTTTTGTATTATACAGCATTAGAGGGTTGCTACAAATTGCCTGTTTGATTATATAGAATGTTTCTTACTTTCCTGTCTTCCTAATAATTTTTTTTTGTAGTACTTCGACAAACTAAGTGGAATACCTGCAGAAGACTTGCCTTATTATGGTGGTTCAGTAGAAATTGCTGACTACTGCCCTTTCAGTCAGGAATTCAGTTGGCATTTAAGTGGTGAATATCAGCGCAGCTCAGATTGTAGGATATTGGAAAATCAACCAGGTTAGTAGTATAGTGAAATGAAATGTTATATACATATTAAAATAACATATCAGCAATATAAAATAGGGATTAAGGACATAGACCCAGGAGCCAGACTGTCTGCATTTGTATTGTGGTTCCACTGGTATCCATTTGTGAAGTAACTTAACTTCTCAGTGCCTCAGTTTCTTCCCTGTACAAAAGAGATAGTAGTACCTGTCTTACAGAGTTGCTGTGAGAACTAATAAATGAATTCACATAGTAAATGCTTCGAACTATGACATATAACAAGGGTTGTTAGATAGACTTGCACATGTGTGCATGCGCTACTTTTTTGTTACACCTTATATCTGCATGATATTTCATTTGCAGAGCACTTTCATTTTTATCATTTTATTCTTCTAAAAACCTGATGAGGGGTGCCTGGGTGGCTCAGTCGGTTAAGCATCCAACTTTGGCTCAGGTCATGATCTTGTGGTTCATAAGTTCAAGCCCCACATCAGGCTCTGTGCTGACAGCTCAGAGCCTGGAGCTTGCTTCCGATTCTGTGTCTCTGTCTCTATTCCTCTTCAGCTCACATTCTGTCTCTCTCTCTCTCAAAAATAAATAAAGATTAAAATTTTTTTTAAAAACCTGATAGAGAAGATATTATTCAATTTCACAGGTAAATGAAGAGACACTAAATAATATAATTAATTGGTGCCTGTGTAAGATCCTCCAAAGCAGCGCTCTTTTTGTTAAATCATAGTAGTTATCCCATTTTTTTCTCTTTTCAGGAGTGTGCATTTTATGTAATTTAGAAGTAACAGGTTGTTCACCAGATATTAGGATAATACTGTTGTCCCATGGCTTGTAAGATGTATTACCATATTATTCCCTTTTAATACACATAAAGAGTATAACAATTGGGTATTCACCTTTGTAAACAAAATGTTACCACATCTTATGCTAATAAAGAGCAATAGGTAGTTTCTCACTCTGTGGTCATCAAAATCTGTAACCTGGTCCTTTTTATCCACCACCCCCCCACCCCGCCCTGCCATTCCATACTTTATTACAGACTCCGTTTTCTACATTTTAAATTTCTATAATGGGTTTTCCTTTTATTTCTAAACCTGGTAGATTTAACTGGATTTGTACAGTCATTTTTTTCATCACTCACCCATTTAATAAATGTCTTAAAAACTTGTAACTATTCAGCAGTTCAGTGTTGAAACTGAGCAATGCAGAGATCTGTCAATTTTGGGTTTGCCAAAAATGGTGTCACATCTTACTATTTTAGAGCTGGAATTGGCAAATGTTTATTGTAAAGAGAAAGATAGTAAATATTTTAAACTTTGTGGGTCATATGGTCTCTGTTGGAATTATGAACTCTGCTGTTACAGTGTGAAAGTAGTTATAGACAACATATAAATTAATGTGTAAATTACTGGCTGTGCTCCAATACAATTTTTTATAAAAGCAGGTAGCCTTCAGGATTTGGCCTGAGGGTTGTAGTTTGCTGAGCACTCCCTTTTCTTTTCTTTTCTTTTCTTTTCTTTTCTTTTCTTTTCTTTTCTTTTTTTTGACACTGACCACTTTGTTTTTCAAGGACTTTGAAATACTCACAAATACACAAAACAATAGTTCTCTTTAATTCTGTTTTACATTTTCCTTCTTAGCTTATATAATTAAGATTTTTCAAAACTGACATAAAATACTTATCTGTAAGAACTCTCTGTTTTCAAAACATGAATCTTACTTGTAGTAAGTGTAAAGAGCAAATTTTTGCTAGGGCTTAAGGATCCTCATTCATTTGTCCATTAGCTAGTTAGAGGTCATTTAATCCACCCTATCCCTCTATGTGTTTGTGTTTTTAATTAAAAAAAAAAAATTATTTTTCAGAGAGAAAGACAGAGCATGGGCTGGGGAGGGGAAGAGAGAGAGGGAGACACAGAATCCAAAGCAGTCTCCAGGCCCTGGGCTGCAGCACAGAGCCCGACACAGGGCTTGAACTCATGAAATGTGAGATCATGACCCAAGTCAAAGTCAGACGCCCAACCGACTGAGCCATCCAAGCGCCCCTGCATGTTTGTGTTTAGTCTGAGACTAGATCAGCATCTTATGTATGGACTTCCAGCAGATAGCATGAGATAAAAATGCAAGAAAACTTTGCAAAAAGTTTTGCAACATCCCCAAAAAAGCCTTCATTATATAAGTCAGTTGGCTTCATCTATCATGGGTCATCTGGGAGGTGACTCCTATTTAGACTACCAGTAAAGACGATTCTTTGTGCCATTTCTTCTGTATATCTAACTTAGATACTTTATTTTTTTAAAGTTTATTATTTTGAGAGAGCACAAGTAGGGGAGGGGCAGAGAAACAGAGAGAGAGAGAGAGAGAGAGAGAGAGAGAGAGAGAGAGAGAATCCCAAGCAGGCTCCACACTGCTAGCACAGAACCCAATGTGGGGCTCAAACCCACGAACTGTGAGATCATGACCTAAGCTGTAGTCAGATGCTCAACTGACTGAGCCACCCAGGCATACCTAACTTATATACTTTAAGCCCAGTTTTATCTCCCATTTTTGATAGAATAATTTCTTCCCACCAAGTCCTTTATTGAGAACCTAGTTTGATTTTGGAGCCCTGTTTCTCTTAATTTTTTTAATTGAAAATTTCCATTAAACATGTTTGATTTTTATTTTAATTTTTGATTTTATTTTTTTAGAGAGAGAGCAAGCCACACACAAGTAAAGGAGGGGCAGAGGAGCTGGAGAAAGAATCTTTTTTTCTTTTAAGTTTATTTATTTATTTATTTATTTATTTATTTATTTATTTTGAGAGTGAGAATGCATACGCATGCACGTGCACATGAGCAGGGGAAGGGTAGAGAGAGAGATAGAGAGGGTGGGAGAGAATCCCAAGCAGATTCTGCACTGTCAGTGCAGAGCCCAATGGGGGCTCTGTCTCACAACAATGAGATCATGACCAGAGCTGAAATCAATAGTCAGAAGCTTAACTGACTGAGCCACCCAGGCAGCCCAAACATGCTTGGTTTTTAAAGCAACTTTTAACCATAAAAATGGAATGCTTCAGTTTGTTCTTTGAACCAAAACTCAGTTTTTAAGAAAAGTTCTCTGGTTTGCTTCAGACCTTTTTAAAAATTATGGTGCTGAAAAGTATGGACCTCATTCAGTTTGTCTAATTCAGAAATCCGCATTTGTCATGGAAAAGTGTGAGAGGAAGCTGAGTTACCCAGACTGGGGGAGTGGATGTTATCAGGTAAACTATATGATTGTTAATAATTATTATCAAATATTATATAATTTATCTCATTATATGGTTTTTATATTTTAAAATACATTTTATATTTTTATATAATTTACTGATTAATTCTTTAACTTATCTTGTTTATATAAATATTACTTTGCTTATGTGTGAAAATATAGTCATTTATTTGAGAAATTACCTTTTTCCACTTGTTTAAAAATACATATATAATTGTTATATATCAGCAAGTTTTATATTAATTTTACTTGGGGCATATACCCCAAGGAAATAATGGAATATATATAATTTTGTTCTTAAATATTACTTTGTAATGGAAAAAATTTGCGATTTTATTTCATAAGATCTGAGGAAAGCATGGATTTAAGAATTAATAAATCAGCTACAGATTAATAATTGTTTTTCTCCTTTGCAATTAGAAATCCAAAAGTAGCAAACTACCTTAAATGACTGCATCACCTTATTAAAAACTTACTAAGATATAGACATTCTATAACTTATGAATATCCAACTTAAAGAATATTCCATACTCTACTAATGGATGTCAGGGAGGAAAGTGTGATCCTGAGAACTGAAAAGTAAGAATTTTTTGTACCATTTCAGCTGCAAGATATAAATGGACTTATGTAGCTGGGAATTTAATTACTACTTTTAAAGTTACTTATAAAATTAGTTTTTTGTAACAGCTTTATTAAGATATAATCCAGACATCATACAATTCATATAAAATTATCTTTGAAACCTTATAGATGAAAATTCAAAATAAATACTTTTCAGTTATAGTCTGATAACTGTAATCCAACAGCCATTTTCTGATAAATTCCTTTGAAGATATATTTGTTTATTTAATTCATAGTTTTGACCTGGTTATAATCATAATATAAAATTTTGTTTTACTGCCTTTACTTAGTACTTCTGTAGAACAAAACACCTTTTCCAAGTTTTCCCAATAATAAAAATTACTATTCTTCTTGCCTTCCTTCCTTCCTGCCTTCCTTCCTTCCTTCCTTCCTTCCTTCCTTTCTTCTTTCCTTCCTTCCTTCCTTCCTTCCTTAGTAAACTGTACCCCCAACATGGGGCTTGAACTCATGACAAGAGTCACATGCTCTACCAACTGAGTCAGCCAGATGCCCCAATGGCCATAAGACACTGCATCTTTTTTTTTTTTTTTAATAAATGTTTATTCATTTTTGAGAGAAAGAGAGCAAGCGTAAGTAGGGGGAGGGGCAGAGAGAGAGAGAGGGGAACAGAGGATCTAAAGCATACTCTGAGCTGATAGCAGCAAGCCCAATGCAGGGCTCAAATTCACAAACTGGGAGATCATGACCTGAGTTGAAGTCAGGCTTTGAACTGACTGAGCTACCCAGGCCTGCCCCCCCCAAGACATTGCATCTTTTTTTTTTTCAATTGTTTGTTTACTTTTTTTTTTTTAATTTACATCCAAGTTAGTTAGCATATAGTGCAATAATGATTTCAGGAGTAGAATCTGTGATTCATTCCCTACATATAACACCAAGTGCTCCAGCAGGTGTCCTCCTCAATGCTCCTTGTCCATTTAGCCCATCCCTCCCCACAACCCCTCCAGCAACCCTCAGTTTGTTCCTATATTTAAGAGTTTCTTGTTTTGTCCCCCTCCCTGTTTATATATTATTTTTGCTTCTCTTCCCTTCTGTTCATCTGTTTTGTGTCGTAAATTACACATGAGTGAAGTCATATGATATTTGTCTTTGACTAATTTCATTGCATCTTTTTTTTTTTAAATTTTTTTTTTCAACGCTTATTTATTTTTGGGACAGAGAGAGGCAAGCATGAACGGGGGGGAGGCAGAGAGGGAGACACATGTGTTAAACAGGCTCCAGGCTCTGAGCCATCAGCCCAGAGCCACCATGCTGAACTCGAATCAGGACCAGCGAGATCGTGACCTGGCTGAAGTTGCGCTAATCAACGTTGGCTGACCAGGCTCTCATTGCATCTTTTTAAAATATCATAATTAGGGAAGTCATTTCCTTGTTGTATATTGAGTTAATTTTCACTTTTCATGATACTATGCTTTTATCTTACCTTTTTAAAAAAATTATTTTTCTAAATTCCCATAAGTGAAAATATTAAATTAAATGGGATAAAGCTAGGGGCTCCTGGGTAGCTCAGTCAGTTAAGCGTCTGACTTCAGCTCAGGTCATGATCTCACAGTCCATGAGTTTGAGCCCTGCGTCGGGCTCTGTACTGACAGCTCAGAGCCTGGAGCCTGCTTCAGATTCTGTGTCTCCCTTTCTCTCTGCTCCCCACCACCCCCCCCCACCCGCTCATGCTCTGTCTCTCTCTGTCTCAAAAATAAATAAAAACATTAAAAAAAATTTTTTAATGGGATAAAGCTAGAACATTGGCAACTATAATAGGAGGATGACCCGTTCAGGCTATTTTATTATATTTCATTTCTTTATTAAGTAAGCTCTATACCCAACGTGGGGCTTGAACTCATGACCTTGAGATCAAGAGTCACGTGCTCTACAAACTGAGCCAGCCAGGCACCCCCTCTTCAGGCAATTTTAATGGTTTGTCAACACCACCAGTACCACAAAGGGATTATGCAAATTTGCAGTACCATCTACAAAAATCAAATGTACTTGGCTTCCCTGTACTTAGAGTTGTCAGTTAATTTTGCTAATTTAATTTTACTAATTTAATGCTAAACACCATTTATATAGGAAAATATGTATGAGTTCCAAACAGTTAACATGGATTAGCTGTTTTGCCTTTTGTTGTTTGTTTTACTTATTTTGACGAGAAGTTGCAAGAATGGTACAAAATGTTTTTTCTGAGTCATTTAAGTGCAAATTGTTGATGTGCTTTACCTTCAATCCCATGTACTTTGTGCATTTCTTTTAAACAAGACATCCCCCTATATAACCGTAATACTATTTTAAAAATTAGGAAATTAACACTGATACATCTAATTCTTGGGCTCTATTCAAGTTCTGCTAATTGTCCCAATAATGTCCTTGTAGTATAGGATCTGGATTAATATCACATGTTGCATAGTTGTCCTGTCTCTGGTCTCCTTCAGTCTGGAACACTTCCTAAGTCTTTTTTTGATTTTTATAACCCTGACATTTAAAAAAACTATAAGTCATTTTTTTCTAAGATGTATCTCACTTTGGGTTTGTCATGTTTCCTCATGATGAAATTCAGGTCATGTATTTTGGGCAGTAATATCACAGAAGTGATGCTCATGTTCTTATGGTGGTACACTCATGATTTGTCCTTTTACTGGTGATGTTAACTTGCTGGTATCTCCCAGGCTTCTTCACTATCAATTACTCTTTTCTTATTAATTCCCTTTGTAATCAGTAAATATTTTGCAGGGAAGTATTGTGTCAATAAATTTTTCTTACCATACTTTCATTTTACTAATTTATACATTTATATCAGCATTGAGTCATGAAATCCATTTTATTAAAGATATTACCATTACTATCATTATTTATTTTGATACTCAATTTCCCCCAGATTTGGCCAGAGGAGGCCCCTTCAGGTTTCTATGTCCTTCTGGTCTTTCCCCATCTTTCTTTGAATGTTTCCTTGCTTTCTGGTGCAAGATATTCTAGCACATGCAGCTCTTGAGTCAACAAATTCTTGAAGAAGCTCTAGTTTTTTGTTTTTGTTTTTGTTTTTTTATTTATTTTGAGAGAGAGAGAGACAGAGAGCAAGCAGGGAAGGGCGGAGAGAGAGAAAGACAGAATCCCAAACACCCAGAATCTCTGCACTGTCAACACAGAGCTCAACGTGGGGCTAGAACTCCTGAATCGTGAGATCATGACCTGAACTGAAATCAAGAGTCAGATACATAACCAACTGAGCCACCCACGCGCCCCAAAAAGCTCTAGTTTCTTTAGTGAAGTATGGTATTTAAGAGACTAAGATCTGTTGTTAGATGTACTGTGCATTGTCACTAGGATATAGCTACTCCCCAAGCCCTCTTGGTGAACAGATCTGGGAAATAGATGTGTGTATGTAATTTGCTTGTATATTCATATGTGTGTGTGTTTGTGTGTGTGTGTATAACTGAGTTTGTACCAGTATCTTTGGTTCCAGTCCAACCCTAAAGGGTTCAGTTTAGTTTTCTCTGTTTCCATGTTTGTAATTCCTTTCACAGAGAGAAATCTGACTCTCATTGTCCTCAGTATGCTTATTTGATCTGACCACATCCCTTTCACCTCCCACCCCTACATAATTACCCTCCTTACCCACCCAGATTCTGACACAGTCCGCCAGGTCACATCTCTTCCTCACTGTGATCCAGATTCTGTGCACATCTTTAGGATATTAATGCTCTTTCTTCCATGAAACTTTCTAAGCTTTATTGCTTGTTTCTACCATTTATTGACTGTAGGAATGCTGACAGTACTGACTCCATCTTTAGCCCTCCATCTTCTTCATGTATGATTGATGACCTCTCTTGGGGCTATGTGTTCCAGGCCTCTTGGAGATTAATATGTATACCTTAGAAATGCCTGCCAAAGCTGGAATGCGGGAGGCTTGCTTTGGCCTCCTGTGAATCTAGAGATAACATAGTCTTTCCTCCTCCTGACGCACAGATGGTACCACAAGGTCTGTTAAAGATTAGCTGTCTATTGGATGCATGTGAACCCTTTGAAGTGCATGTAAGCCTTTTGATCTTACTACATACCCTTCTGCTCGTCCCCTTCCTCTATAAAATATGTAGACTAAGGACTGGACTTTGCAGAGAATAGCTGCACAACTGTCCAAATCACCATCCACCTGATCATGCTGTCAGTAAGTTACCCTGAATTAAACTATATAAAGTGTATGGAGTTGCCTCCTTCATTTTTCAGTCTCAAAGTGTCTTCTGTCTTTGAAGGATACTTTACAGTCCCTCCATTTTCCAACATTGACTCTTAATCATAAACAGCTTAACACTGTTAAATTTGCTGGTGGGGTGGGTGGGTGGAATTTATATGCCACCCTTTTCTCTTCAGTTAAAGCTGCTAGAGGACAGGTACTGGGTCACGGACTTCTTTGGTATCCTTTTCAGCCACAAAGCACAATATTCAGTCAGTTCTCACTTAAAAGAATGATTACATTGCACTGTAGTTATGGTGGTGCTTCCTAGATGTGGGTCATTGAATGACAGACTTATGGAAGAGGTTATACTTTGTTGTCATTTGTTTTCTTGAACTTATTATAACTTAAATTTCCACATGAGTATTACACTTAAACTTAGTTCATGATTGAGTTATTTCAAAGATGACTCCATTGTTGAAATGTACTTATGGAACTCCTCTTTTGAAATTGCCTTTAGAGGGGCGCCTGGGTGGCGCAGTCGGTTAAGCGTCCAACTTCAGCCAGGTCACGATCTCGCGGTCCGTGAGTTCGAGCCCTGCGTCGGGCTCTGGGCTGATGGCTCAGAGCCTGGAGCCTGTTTCTGATTCTGTGTCTCCCTCTCTCTCTGCCCCTCCCCCGTTCATGCTCTGTCTCTCTCTGTCCCAAAAATAAATAAACGTTGAAAAAAAAATTAAAAAAAAAAAAAAAAAAGAAATTGCCTTTAGAAAGAGTTTAGTAGCCTCCTAGGAAAATCAGTTTTAGTATTTTGCATCACACCTATATTAATTTAATGTTAACTGATTTAGTCAACTTTACCAGACTTGGTTCTGGGTAACTTTTGGTATTTCTAAAAACTATATCAACTTGCAAAGTAAAAATTTACCACCATCAAACATACTCAAAATCATATACTTGGTTTGAGGATAGGCCCAGGAGAGAAGTTCCGGAAATATTTAAAGTGAAGTAGCATAATTGGCATTAATGTGTCTTTTTATAAAACAACTGTGAAGAAGACACATTTAACACTTTTTTAAAGTTAGTTTTAACGTGTTTGCTTTTTAAAATTGACTTGGGTGTCTGGGTGGCTCAGTCAGTTGAGCAGCCGACTCTTGATTTCTGCTTAGGTCATGATCCCAGGTGAGCATGGAGCCTGCTTAAGATTCTCTTTCTCTCTCCCTTTCCCCCACTCATGCTCTCTCTCTCTAAAATAAAAAGAAAAAAAATCTGATTTTATTAGTTACCCCCGCAGTTAAAATATGAGTCCTACCTTTAAGCACTTTTTTTTTTTTTTAAGTTTATTCGTTCATTTTGACAGAGAGAGAGAACATGCGCATGGGAGGGGCAGAGAGAGAGGTAGAGAGAGAGAGAATCCCAAGTAGGCATACACTGTCAGCACAGAGCTCAATGTGGGGCTCAAACTCACAAACTGTGAGATCATGACCTGAACTCAAACCAAGATTCAGACACTTATGCAACCGACTGAGCCACTGAGGTGCCGCAAGTCCTGCCTTTGAAGATGTTACCAGTCCATATAAAATCACTATGACCATTTTTTTTTTAATTTTTTTTTCAACTTTTTTAATTTATTTTTGGGACAGAGCGAGACAGAGCATGAACGGGGGAGGGGCAGAGAGAGAGGGAGACACAGAATCGGAAACAGGCTCCAGGCTCCGAGCCATCAGCCCAGAGCCTGACGCGGGGCTCGAACTCACGGACCGCGAGATCGTGACCTGGCTGAAGTCGGACGCTTAACCGACTGCGCCACCCAGGCGCCCCACTATGACCATTTTTATACCTGAGTGAAGGATCTAGGATAAGGAAAAGAATAAAGAACTTTTTTACTGTGTACATTTCTGTGCTCTATGCTTTTTTCTTTTTACAATGAGCATATATATTTATAATTTAAAATATATTATAAAAATTTGATTTACAAAATTTGTGACTTGTGGAGAAAATGACTTGAGTAATGGCTCTTTGACAGAGATTTAAGGTGAAGTATAATGAGAATACTAGGATCTATAGAAATGTTATTCTTTTTTTTTAGGATTTTATTTTTAAAACTTTTTTATTTTGAGAGAGAGAGAGAGAGAACAAGTGCAGGGGAGGGGCAGAAAGGGAGAAAGAAAATCCCAAATAAACTCTACTCCGACAGCAAAGAATCCAGCACAGGGCTCAATCCCACTGACTGAGAGATCATGACAGGAGCTGAAATCAAGAGTTGGATGCTTAACCGATTGAGGCACCCAGGCACCCCTAAGATTTTATTTATTTTAAGTAATCTCTACACCCAATCCCAATGGTGGGACTCAAACTCACAACCCCAAGATCAAGAGTCACACACTCCACCAACTGAGCTAGCCAGCACCCCTACAGAAATGTTATTCTTGATAACTTGGTTTCAGGGGTCTGTGAATCCAAATTGTATGTAAAGTTGTGTGTTCTCTTGTATATGTACTGAAAAGTATCCATAGATTTCCTCAGATTTTTTTGAAAATGCTAAACTAAAAATTTAAGAACAACTACCACAGAGTGTATTTTAGAACCTGAATAACTTAGCGTTCTTTATATGAGATTAAAGACCTCCCTATACCCCAAATTGTTTTATAGTCAGTATTTTTAGTAATGTATTTTCCTGTAGGTGAAGGAAGGCTCATATATTATATATGGAATCTAACTGATCTGATTTTTTTTTTTTTTTTTTTTTTTTTTTTTTTTTTCCTATTTGAAGGTTTCTTGTTCTCCCCAAGGTCTGACAGTTTGGGTTCAGAACACTTCATATTTGTGTAGTCGGGCTGGGCAGGTCCTCCCCGTCAGTATTCAGATGAATGGCTGGATTCATGATGGTAACCTGCTCTGCCCATCATGCTGGGACTTCTGTGAGCTCTGTCCTCCAGAAACAGATCCTCCAGCTGCTAACCTGACCCGAGCTCTACCACTGGGTGAGTAGTCTCTATGGGTGGAGTAAAGAGAGGGACTTCTCTTATATAATGTTGAAAATTACCTTCAAGGAAACTCTAAAACAAGTTGAGCATCTTCTCTTCTAATTGCAGTTTTATGGGAAAGCCCCTTCCCACCATTGCTAGAAATTAAAAGTGGGTAAATGTGACACTTCTGTTCAGTAGCAAGAGTAAGGAACCTTTTGGTCTAAAGACCTTATGACTTGCAAAAAAAAATTCATTCAAGATTACAAAACCTGAGGGTACCTAGGTGGCTCGGTCGGTTAAGCTACCGAGTCTTGATTTCAGCTCAGATCATAATCTCACGATTCATGGGTTTGAGCCCCGCATCAGGCTCTGTACTGACAGCATGGAGCCTACTTGGGATTTTCTCTCTCTCTCTTTGTCTGCCCCTACCCCGCTTGTTCATTCTCTCTCTCTCTCTCTCTCTCTCTCTCTCAAAATAAATAAACTTTAAAAAAGAAAAGAAAATGTAGGGGTGCCTGGGTGACTCAGTCTGTTAAGCGTCTGACTGGTTCAGGTCATGACCTCGTGGTTCATGAGTTGAAACCCCGCATCAGGCTCTCTGCTGTCAGCACAGAGCCAGCTTTGGATCTTCTGTATCCCTCTCTGTGCTCCTCCCCTGCTCTCTCTCTCTCAAAAATAAATAAACATTA